TAATAAAACTAAAATGGTAAAATAATTTATGGTGAATTTGATTACATTTTTCGGCATATTTTTCGGTTGCTACTAATATGCTGCAACTTTTTCAAGAGGAGGTGGGGAGGGGAGAGGGAGAAGAGCATAATGAGTTTATACATATATAGGCATGATTTTCTCTCTATAGAGAAAACGATGTTTATGTAAATAGATTCCATTTCAATGAGAATACAAAAACACTGACACCATATCGGCGGAATAATGTATACACAACAACCGTTCAAACTGTGCCGGTATATAGCAAGTGCGCATGTGATGGTTTGTTCTTTGCCACTTTTGCCGTTCATCCTCTTCTTTGAAGTTGTGTTAGCGATTTTTTTTCGATAAACCACTTTGACTCTCACTCTTCTCTTAAGCGATTTTATATGAACTCAAAAACACGGATGTGCGATTCAATCCAAATACCACCGAAAAAAAAACCAGAGACGAAAACGACCATGTACAATTTTCTTTCTATTCGAATATTGCAAACTAAACTTTCAAACTACATAATATCTCTCTATATATATTATATATATGCTGTAAATGTGAATTGAATATGAATACGAAGATGTTCTAATAAACAGCGAAAAATGTTTTTTTTTGCCTTTCTTGTGTTCCTTCTCCCCTCCCATCTCTCCTGCTCTTCCTTATGTAGCATGTGCACGGTTGCACCGTCGCACGCATACACCTTGGCCATATTCTAAAATTAAATTGGCTTTATCACAAGCAGATATAAAGTTTTTACACAGCATTATGGCTTTATATATTTTATTTGAAAACGGCAATCTAGATGCCAAATACCGTTCTGCTTTTCTTTTTGTTAGATGCAATGAAAGAAGCGAAACGCCTTTGACTCTCTATCTCTGATTTTAATTGCTTTTAATCAAGATAACATACGGAAAATTGTAATTTTGTTGAATTGAATACACTGACGAACAACATTTTTTTTAAAGGACTTTCACTTAAAAAACCGAGATTCAACACAAACAGATGTTTGGAATGTATAGCAAGTACAGTGGCAAATGAAATTGTATTGTTGTTGTGCTGTATGAAAAGAGAAAACTGGGTAAAACCTAGACACATTTTTAATTCTCAATAAATTCCGTTAGTTGAAATATAGAACCAATATAAACTCATTCAAAATAGGATGTAGAGAGGATATGACTTCTTCAAAATGAATGCGACTCAAAAAAAATCAACTTAATGCGATAAGCTATCAGCGCGCATCTTATAAATGGTGATAATATGACGACGAACAGTATATTTCATCATAAAATGATCTGTATATTCAAGCATGCAATTCTTCGAAGAACAAAAATAGTGAACATCATGATTAATAGAGATTTTTTTTGCAACGCATTTTTTAACTCCATTCGAAGGCAAGTGTAGCCACTCTAATACCATGTTTCAACTAAGAATAAAGACCAAGGAGATTCTAATGGTACGTTGAGTACAAAAAAGCGTCAGCTTAATAAAATAATGTCGAATTCAAAATATATTATGGACTGACATTGAACACGTATACGGTTTTTGTTGTGCGAAACGTCCTTGAAGAAATTTTTGTTTATTTGTATGGCTCTCTCTGTCCGGGGAGTTTTTTTCTCTCTCTCTCTCTCTCTCTCTCTCTTTGTTTTATACGCGCTACATGTTTTACTCATGATTCATATAATGTTTGTTGTGTTGTAATCACGAAGTCAAATGCTTCACTTGAAACAAACAAAAAAGAGACGCAAATGAGTTTCAAAGAAAGAGAAATACCTCAAAATTTAAACACATGCATTGAATAGGTATGTGTTGGAATCATTTTTTGTTTAAATGTAAATATGGTTAGCTTGATTTCAATTTACATGGTCTTTAATTTGGTCAGCTGGTAGGTAATACGCCGTATTATTATTATTGCAAATAAAATGTATTCAAATGAAATATGGTTTTGTTGAAAATGTTGCATAATTCATACAAAAGAATGATAAAAATGAAAGCAATAACAATAAAAACACCAACCGCACATCATACATAGACGAACGAAAGACAGAAAAAAAAATGAAGAGCGTCATGTATTTTCTGTGTAATAATAAATCTATTTGAAGCCATAAATCTTTCTTTTATAAATGGTGAGTGAGAGACGACTGACTGCATAAATTGCAATTTAGAAATGTAAAATCCAGAAATGCGCGTAGTGTGTACATGTGCGTGTATGTGTATGCGAGCGCTATATGAAGTCAGGGGGTCCAATAAAATATAATTGCATACTTTACCATTTCCGAGAAGCAAGTATGTCTTCTCTTTTTTTTTTCGTTGACCGTTTTCGAACGATCGAATTTATTGTGCTTTAATTGCAGCGTAAAATCTTGCAGATAGATATCATCGCATAAATTGATTGAGGCAAAGTCGTAATTAAATGACTGTGGATGGACGATATGAATAAATATTTAAAAATGAAGAAAAACAACACAAGTGACTTGAAATTGAAATGTAAATGTTTTTCTTTTTGAATTTGATGAAAATGTTTAAAATACGGGAAAAAAAATTATGAGACTCTTGACATTTCGCATGTATAGAGCGTGTACATTAAAGAAAAGAATACAATGTTGTATAATGCATTTGTAATCAGCTTCTCTCTGTACCTTTATTGCCTTTCTCGTCATTCTCAATTTATTTTTCTCTACATTTTATTTTGCTCGTCATTGTCAATTTCAGCTATGTTTGAAATGAAACCGTATTGTAGTTAAATAGATAGATTAAAAAGAGAGAGAGATAGAGAGAGAAACTGAGAGATAATCTCAAGAATGTATTCAATTGATTATTATGTTTTATAATTGTTTGCCTTTATGGTGCATCAAAAAAGTAAAAACAAACTCAAAACTTAAAACCAGTTATATTCTTTTATTGAATCAAAGTTCGATGTGGAAATATTAGTGTGCATGCCATTGCGCACAAGAAAGCAAAAACAATCCACTCAAAAATTCAAATAGACTGTACGGTGTACGGTTTTTTTTTTGCTTCAAAATGTTTATTGGTAGGAAAAAGTTAGCTCAAATAAAATTATGATAATGCAATAGCGAGACAGTGTGCATGGAATATGCTCGATGTCGATGAGATGTATAACTTTAATTCGTTAATTATTATTAAGAGTATTTTGAGATCGGAGCGGTGCAGCCGCTCAATACAAGCGAGAAGAGCCCGAATGCATTCAATATGTTTGTATTTGTGTGACAGATGCTGCCGCTGCTGGTGCTGTTGCTTCTTTTTCTTACGTGCATGCATATCACAAACATGTTTTATTCAACACCAAAATAGATAATTATTCACAAACGTGTTTAAACTATTCATACCATTGAGAAAAACACGACTACGTCTATCGCTTGGAATGCGATACTTTATGCGCGTATCGAAGATACGACTGGCCTTGTGGTCACCCTTTATGAGAAGAGAAGAAGTAAAAAATTGTTTTTACTTCAACTGTGCTTGCCACTTTTCTCTCAGCTCTTCGTCGTTTTCATTTTTGTTTTTTTTTGTTCGTTCGCTTAGCCAAGTCAAATGGCTAATCGCTTGTAATAATACCATTCGCATTATACACCAAACCAAATTATCCAAGTCACATCAAAATGTGTGTGTTTGTGTGTGCGCGCGCTTACAAAATGTATGTAGCAAATTATTGATTTCGCATTTAATACGATTGAAGAGAAACATGGACATTTGCATTTTTGTACATTATTCTTATAGCGCATAAGAAGACAGAGAAAGAGATAGAGGGAAATAGAAACACGTCAATACACCATTAACCCTATACCATAACTAGTTTCCCTGTTTTATCTTTTGCTTGTTGTTCATTTACGGAAATATAAGAAAATATTGTTGCTCAAATGCAAAAATAGTACAACTGACCATGAGATGACGCAATTTTATCAATTAAATGGCTAATGGCAGTAAAAAAAATTATAATTTAATGTTGAATTCAATAAAAATGTTCACATTAAAAATTGATTGCAGTTACTTTCATTTGAAGAGAATTCGTAAGCTCGTAAATAAACCATTGCCATCTGATGTGCACGATATGAGTCTCTTTTGTTGAACAAGAATAGATTTGTACCCACAAATCAACAACAGCAACAAAAAAAGCAATTTTACATTGTTTGTGATGTAAATTCCATGGGTTAAAATTGGCATTGTGGTCAATCGTTGTATTCATTAACACAAGGCGATGGAAAAAGATGAAGTAGAAAAAGAGCTAATGTTAATTAACAAGTGAGTTCGATTGAACCAAGAACTTGATGTGTTTAATTTTGAAAGCAAAAAGCAACACACTCAAGTGTACTTGATTCTCACTCTGTTGTGGCTTGTTTTTTTTTTGTTGTTGTTCGTTCATTTCATTTGGTTCGCATACATGATGCGTTTTGCACACACTACGCTGTGTCTGTGTAACCGAATGATATTATTAAATGAAGCATGTGTTCGAATGTGCAATTTCCTCTCTCTTCATTTATAATTCGCGCACACACGCACATACATACACACACAAGATCAACGTGCATGGTATTGCCCATAAATTGAACTGAAACAAGCATATAATAATGGCTATGAAACGACACAACACAGACCAAGAGTTATACCAAACACTTAACTCATTTTCCATTTATTTTCGGTGTTCAGTGCAACTTTCTATTTAACATCGCAACAAATGAAAGGAAAACAGATGTGTTATTCAATTGCAGAATTATTATACGTTTATACCAATTTGATTTGATCGATTACCGTTAATAGACTGGGGAAATGTGTTGTTTAGGAAAAACAAATTGTTTGCAATTGGCACATTTAATAGAAATTAGAATTTCAGCCAACATTCAATTTGTTTCATTCAAATGAGTGTCAAACACTTTTGACCGTTTATTTAACTGTCGAATTATCCTTGAACTTTGTAGTGAGATACGAAAAATGAATGAATATGTCTAAAGTCCGGTATTTTATTTATTTTACAGGTGATTGGCGAACCGTGCGGATATCATGGTCCATACACATTTTATAAAGGCATTCGAATATCACCGTTTTCGTCGTCATCATCATCGCCAGCGTCTTCGTTATCGGTGACAGCAACGGTTGCAGCCACAAACAACGTCTATGAAAATCATTGTTTCAAAGAAAATAATTGCTTTGATGGCATCGATCGAAAAACGGCCGAATTATTACGTTCAAATGACACCATCATAAAATCCATCAAGCATGAATACGATTCGGAATCATCATCCGATTGCAGCGATGGACTGGCATTGCCACAACGAAAATTCAACAAAACAGATGTCAAACCACGACTATTAGCCGAATGGTAAGTGTTGGTGTAATTACATATTAATTTGTTATTTTATTCTTCTTTTTCTTCGTTTCACGTCTGTATAACGTTTCAATAATCGGTGTCACGTATCGTTCTCGATTTTTTTCTTTTTCGATTTGTTCAACAACGAAAAAAAAATTGGACACAGCTATAAGAAACCGTTAGTATTGGCACTTGGTGATTGCATTCCGGTTCGGCCATGGTCAGATTCGCCAATTGCATGCATTGCTGAGCTGCGTATGGTATGGCGTGATAAAAACGAACAATGTCTGTTGACTAGCCTTCGATTGTATTTTCTGCCCGAAAACACGCCAATTGGTCGTAATTGCCATGGAGAGGTAAGTTTTCGGCATATTTTCTTCTCATAATGATTTGTTTTGAATAAAAAATAGTAATAATAAAATGCTTCTGAAAAATGACTGAAAAATGAATGGATGTTGTTGAGGGGCGAGTGAGAGAGAATGAAAACAATTATAAATTAAAAACATTCGGTGTGTGAATATGCGAGTGTGAGTGTGTGTCTTATTTATTCGCTTGTCCCAACACGTTGATGCGTGCTCAATGCCCTCGTAAATAGTTTTAATTTATGTCAGCAACTCGGTACAAGGTCATTGCAAGACAGTTAAATATACACAAAATAAACCAATGAACAAAAATCACACATTCACTCACCAAATTACAATTGCGTCGTTGATTTCTTGAACGCAGAAGACAAACGCGCAAAATACAGTGTTTTTTTGCTTCTTCATTCTAACCGTGCATGTAAACGCGCGCGTAAATAACTGCGCTTACATTCACATCACAAAGTGAACAAGCATCGTCGCAAAGCGTATGATATGAGATCTCATATGAGCTCGAGCCACTCGCACACCTCTATTGTTGCACACATTAAATCGTTATTTATTTCAGGTGATTGTCGTTCTTTGTTTAGTTGTATTTTTGATGTTGTTGTTGTCTTCTTTATTTTTATTTTCTCAATACGCGATGACCAATTTAAAAAGAGTAATTTTGTTTGGGGCGGGAATTTACTTAATATACTCAGCGTTAGTAAGAAAAAATTATGATGAAATGGCAAAAAAAATCCGAACTGCCATTTTGACTGTTCCATTTAAATGAGCTGCAATTGTTACATCAACTATGTGTACAACAATAGATAGTATTAAATGTTTTTTTTTTTTTTATTATCGAAAAATATTTATTTTAAAAATAGCCTTTTTGACTTTATAAAATAACAAATTAGATAAAACGCATCTATTTAGATTGCGATGAATGCATCTCAAGCTAATCTATAGCTAGCTCAACATTTGCCACACGACTGAAAACATCAGAGTCATGTTTTTACATAACGTAAGTTATGTTCCAACAAAAATGAGTTTAAAAGATTATATGTTTTCAATTTAAATTAAAATCTTAAATGCTCCGTGAATCTTGGTTGCTCACCGAATGACAAAATTATTGTAATCCCAAATAAATTGATCGCCCTTAATTATAGACAAGCATTTCATGTACTACCTTAAAATACCTCTGGCATTTTTCATTTATATAGATTATTTGTTTTTTTTTTGTTTGTTTAATTTGCCATATTTTTTTTGTTAAACTCATTCATAGGATGAAGTGTTGGCGATTTCCGAGCGCGTTGTAATTAGAGCAGACGATCTACTGAACTGGTGTGACGATACAATTAATTGGACCTATGGATTACGTGCAAATACGCTTCTCGATCCATCGATAAAAACTGAAGCAAAACACGATGTTAATAAATGTGACAACAATTTACCAACCAACGTTCATAATAAAAACGAAAATGATGCAGATTTTGATAGCATTTCCACGTCAAATATTCGATCGCTGAAAAATTCCAAATTGAATTTTACTGAAGTGGAAAAAGAAAAAGGTAAACACAATCGCTATAAATTTAATCAACTTTTATTGATTCGTTTAAATCTTGAAACAAACCGTATTTACGAAACAAAATACAAAATATCAAAATATTTATTATAATTGAATTTAGCGGCTCCTTCATTTTAAACTTCAATGTAAGCAGCAAACATTTCCACCTCCACAACGATTTCTGTACGAATAATACTTATAGAATAGTAGCTCAAAACATTACAAAGACAATCTTGTTTGGCACTCACTTGGATAGTTTGATTATATCTGTTGTGTGACATTCAATTCGAGAAATGCACGAACATTTTTTCTTCACAATTAAATCGCCCTGTTCGATAATATATGCAACGAATGACATTCCGGTCATCGATGGTTTCACTGGAATCTCATAATCTGCTTCATAGCCAATGGTTGGTGGTTCCGATTTTTCAATCATTTCTGATTGAATTATTGATACTGACACTAATGTAATCAATAAAATTGAATTGATCCAAATCGATATCATATTGAAGAAAAAAAACCACGTCTATTTTATTTTTTGTGAAAAAAGGCTACTTGTTGCACGTTTGGCACTGAACAACTACGATGACGCTTCAGGTGTCTTAAACAGCACACTAACCGAATTAAACTATCTTTGAAATCAAAATCCAACAATAGTGTTTGCACTCAGTTGCGCACACTGTATATCGTTTCTCTCTTTTTTTGCGAATTAAATGAAAAAAAATCGCTGCATTTATCGAATAAACTATATGCTGACCAAAGCGAAAACAATGCAAAATCCACTGGGATTTGTTTGAAACTTTTTATATTATATAAATGAAAACTGAAACCAAATGAAAAACAAGCTGTGCTTTTGCTCTCTTTCTCATTCTCTCTTGTTCCTTATTTTATTTACAGAAACGTATTCCCGGTCGAATGTTGCAGTGATCAGTTTTCCACGGTATTGCCGTTATCGAGCTACGCTAAAACGGCTTGAAGGCGTTGGCGACGAATGGCTACGACAGACATTAGTGCAGGCACTTTGCGGTTTTGTTTCATACGGACCGGACACAAGAGTTATGTTTTGCAAGGTACGACACATATATTTAATTGTTCAAAAACATTTTTTTTTGTTTTAAATCTGTTCAATTTATTGAAAATGGTTGAAAATGACGAACTAAACAAAATATTTTGTGTAATTTTTCGTTCAGGAAACATTTGACTATCCCGAATTGGAAACGCATGAGCTTTTGTGTAATCATTTGGCGCCAAAATTGAAAGGTCGTCCACGTGGTCGTAGAAAGAAGGTTCGTTCGGATTCACCATCATCGCGTATCCGTTGTGATTCAGCTGGTTCTGATTCATGCGATTCCGAAATATCGGCATGTTCGGTGGAAAAAGTCTATTCAAAATATTCACCATTGTATGTTAAGCCCGAATTTAAACAAGGCAAACAAGTGCTGGCCACAAGACCAAAACTTCGTTACAATCCACGACCGGCACGAACGAAACTTAAATCGGAATCGGCCGATGGTATACGGTCATCGCGACGGGCTACAAACAGCGATAGCAGCGATTCAAATGACAGTGATTCGAATACAAACACAACGAATCAAGACGATGATGAAAATGAATCGTCGGAGGAATCGGAATTCATACAAAAGCTGATTGGTTTTCATGAAGCACAAGATTCACAAATTCCAAAAGTGTTTTGGATCGGTTTGCGGCGCGTCAATTTATTGTCGATTTATCAAAAAGTGAGAAAAATGGGCGGCTATGAAATGGTCACCGAACGAAAAATGTGGAAATATTTATTTGGCGTTGATGGTGGCTACAATTCAATATCACGCAAAAAATATGAACGTGCATTGTTGCCATACGAAAAGTATGAAATGCGCAAAGAATATGCGGAACGATGTGCAAAGTATGGAAAAGACGTTGTTGATCGAAATAGTGGCTACAATTTTGAACAGCATCTTATCGATGGTAATCGACGATTGACCGAAGCTGAAATACTTGAAATTCAACGGCAAATTAAATTGCAAGAAGCGCGAAAAGAAAAAGATCAAAATTTACATGTAGATTTATCGTCTGGCTCATTACCGGTTACCGTTATTGTTGGTAATAAAAAGTCAACGTCACCATCACAATTTCAAATTCAACAACCGCATACCACAATTACCGTACATCAGACGACAATTCATCCACAATCGTCAATGGTGCGAACCAGTCCGCCAAATAATCCCATTCAAATAACAAATCAAATACAAATACAACAATTCACAGTACAACCGGGTTCATCGAAAAAAGACGATGGTCTGAGTGGCAAACGTAAATTTTCCATCGACGAATATTCAGCGCGTGATGCAAATTTCGTGGCCAATCATTTGGCAAAATTGGGTAAAATAATTTTAATTTGATATTCCATTCTGTTCCATTATCATCATTGTTTTCTTTTCTTATGAAAATCTCCCCCAGGTAAAACAACGTCATTGCGACAGGTTCGCTTACGACCCGATCGGCAACGAGATCGTAAATCGGGTGTCACATCACCGCCATCAATTGGTTCGATTACCGTGTCGGCGATAAAACCAAATGAAAAAGAAAACATTCCATATTTGAGCGGTTCAAAGACGACAACAATAACGCCGATTCTTGGTAATAGCAACAAATCGTTGCGTTATCCAAATTCAATGTCCGACGTTATCGATTTGGATAGTGACAATGAAGACAGTCAATCACCGCCACAATCACATTTGTATTCGGGCGGAGCCATGTTTCCGAATATGAAAAAACGAAAATTAGATATTCTTCGACAAGGTGGTCTTGAGGTGACGGCCATTAGTAATTCCGGTGGTCCGGTGAATAATCAAAGTGTTCATGGTTCAACATCAACGTCATCAGCACAACCGGTGAATGTTTCAAAAGTGAAAACCACTTCAAAAATCAATGCATCATTGACGGGTGCACATATTGATGTGCCATTACCAAAATTCCAATCGCAATGCATGTACAAACGTACTACACGAATCTTTGGCAATCCAAAAGATTTAATACCGTTGCCAACGCAAACCACCGAATACAATTGCATCGATTTAACGGTGGAAAAGTGTGAACCACAACTACCAATTGGATTGCGTTTACCTCAATCGACAACAATACAAAAAGCCCATTCGACACCAGCCACTGTACTCACCACAACGTTACCTACGGCCGCACAATTGGCTGCACAAAAGATAACCGATCCAAATTTGCAAATAACACTTGTACCTCCAATTTCTCATGCGCATAATTCGCACGCTCATCATCACAACAACAAACGAAAATCATCGGACAACAATAAAACCACAATAAGTGGCCTGAAATTGTCGGAACAGAAAATTCCTTCACTTCCACCGTCGATAACCACAACACCAATTGGCAATTTTTCGAATTCAACGAATGCATCATCAGGCGCCAGTTCGTCAGCATCACCACCATCAACACTTCTAAATGTTCCAAATCTTTCGTCGATTAATGACAATTTAAAAATAAATCAACTTTTATTGCAAAACTTCCTGAATCAATCAGCTGTTGCAAACGCCCAATCCGATCAATTGACGGCCGCGAAGCAAGATCCAAGCACAAATCCATTTCTTATGCTCGATCCAATGTATCTGACCGGTCTTTACAATAATCCCAATCTCTTTTTCCAACAATCACTTCCACAAGAGCTATTACAGCTGTACAAAAACTTTCCACAAGGATTGGGCATCATTCCGATCTCGAAAAGTTAAAAACAAAAGATGTAAAACGGATGAAGATCGACTGTTTTTTTTTTGTTTTGTTGAAAAGCTTATGAATTATACAAAATAAAAACACTAATTCAGAAGAAAAAGAGAAGAAAATCGAATTCTAGTCAAGCATGTAGACATACATCACTCGATTGGACCATTTCAACCATGTTTTTTTCCCTATCTCACGTCTGAGTTAACAATTGTCTCCCGAGTCTGTAAAAGCAAGACATTTTCATAATCGGAACCGACTCGGGAACAGCATCAACAATATTGAAGAAAGTAAAACACAAGAGAAAATGGTCCAAATATCCATCTTTTGAAACGTATTTAAGTTAACCTCTTTGCATAAGTTTAACATAATCTTTTTTTGAATAATTTTTTTATGTGTTCTGTTTAAAATCATCATTTTCTTTTGTATTTTCTCTTACAATATAAGATTGATTATAATTATAGTAAAATGTCCATTATAATTGTTCACTTTATAATCGTTCTCGTATAAAACAAATAATACCGTAAGCACAACGTAGACTAAATATCGGCTCCACCATAGATAGGATCATTCGTATATTTTTTCATACAACTTTGAAAATCGACTCGGTCAACATTTATTTGTATCATTTTTTTGATCACATACGCCCACTTTTCAAATCCTGAATATACAAAATGGACATTAAATAGTGGATTACAAAGTGAAGAAAGTTTCTTTAAGAAAACGACAAACACCCAATAAACAATCAAATAAAAATCAATATATGCCGTTGATAACGTGCCACACTTGATCAGGAACTGCATTAAATTGCTAAACAACACAAGGACAGAAAACAAGAAGAAAAAAAAGTAAAACAGAAAATAAATCTAATCAAATTAAGTGAAACACAAACAACATTTTTACATAAACCGAAACAAATAAATGACAAAAAGGACATATTTTTTATGAGAACATATGGCAATATTCAATGCAAATGTGCGATAATTTTCATTTGATATAAGGATTTATTTTCAATGATTTTTTGTTCTTTCGTTTATTATTTTCTTTAAGATGAATATTTTGTATTTTTTTCGAAGCGCTTCGATAGAAAGGGTATGATTTTTTTTACAGTTCACAAACAAATACAAACAACTTTTCATAAAATAATAAATAGAAGCAAACAAAAGCTAGTAACAAAAATGAAAGAAAACCGTCTTGCCTCCACTTTAGAATTAAAGAAAATTATCTCACTTTTTCAATGAACATTGTCGTCTAGTAGCTAGTTGTACTGGATACGTAATGAAAAAAAAAAATAGAATTCGACCAACATTTATCGACACGGAAAATACAATTCAATTGCAATTTTTCGATCCCAAAAGAAAGAAATATAACCAATTTATACAAATTCTTATTAAAAATGACAAAATTTCTTTCATTCCTTTTATAATGCAATTTACAGTTTTTTAGTAATAGTTTCAGACACAACAAACATATTACCAAGTGACGACATCACATCCACCCGTTCATCGATATATATTGCTCGAATTAGAATATGATTAATATTAATTATTAAACTGTGTAACAGGTTCATTGTCGATTAGTTGGAAAATACATGAAAAAAATACATTCTATACATTTTTTCTTGGTCAGATGTTTTTATTTGAATTTGAACATTTTGTGTGGCACAAGAAACAAAATATCACACAATGTTTGTGAAGTGTGGCTGTTTATTTTAGACTTTCAGCTCAGGGTGATAATTTGCAATTAAAAAGTGATCAACGAAAGGTATCTATTCGAAATGTAAGTATTATGTATTTACTATGGATATAAATATATTTGTGCATATTTACCATCAAATAGAATATTCACAATATGATTCGCCGCTTTTGTCATACGTAAGACGCTTCTCCTTCGTTTACTACCTCTGTATATGTTGAGTTGATCGAGCACACACGTTAAACGCATATATAGGTATTGCGTATGCTTATACAGCTCAACATCAGGCGAGATATATTGCGAATTACTAAATACTAAAGAATGTTTTTTTTCTTGGTTCGAACCTAAGAATGGAATCTTTGTAGTTTGCACAAAACAAAAAGGAAAATGTCAAGACATTTTCATCAATTATTATCAAACTTCGTTGTCCACATTGTCAATGAATCAAAATGAAGAATATTTTCAATTATCGTTAGATGTTTGTTTTACAAATGTTATCTCTCTTTCTCTCTCGCGCTCTTTTTGATTTCAAATACCGGTTTAATGAACATTTCCTAGTTTCATGATTTTTGGACTTTAAATTGTCAGCAAATTTTTAGTGACGCTCTAGACAGACACGAAACGCATTCGTATAAAATTATTATTGGGTGGAACACATTCATTAAAATATCAACTTTTCAAGATAACACCATCAATTTGACGTAAACAAGCATGACGTAATTCAATATTTATTTCGTGGTTAGTCTTCAATTAAGTAACTCTACTGTATACTTTTGACCATTTAAAAAAAATATTATTTGATTTGAAATAAAGGAATTGAGATGATTAAATATTATATTCAAGTGAGTGGTTATTCTAGTTGCTACCTTTTCTCTGTCAATATACAATAAATCAATTCAGTAATTGTGATATATTTATTTTCAAATACGAAAAAAAAGAAAGTTCAAAGTTTGAACTGATATCAATATGAAAAATTATAATCATAATTGTTTAAAGTTAATTAGAGTTTGATAGGATTTGAGTTTGTCCATTTGCTTTAAAGATCGATTAAATTTCGTAGAAAATTTAAATCACATTTTTGCATACTGATTGATTTATTATACTATCTTTTGTCTAAACTCTTGACCTCGTTTGGTTTAATATCAATGCTTTATTCAACAAATTCACAGGTTTTATTCATTATATCGCTAGCTATTTTCTATGCTTTCTCATTGGTCGATGACATTGAAGACGAATGGAGCAAGTTTAAGGTGCAGATTTATAAACGTTTTATTCCATTCTATGAATAATTTTAAATCGTTCTATTTTTCTATCTCTATTTGTTTCTAGTTAAAGTATTCCAAAAAATATGAAAATCACACTGAAGACTTGATGCGCATGAACATTTTCAAAGAGAATCGACAAAAAATCGCCGAACACAATGAAATCTATGAAAAAGGGCTAGTTTCATATCAGATGGCATTGAATAAATTCGCAGATTGGACTAACGATGAATTTGTCCAAATAAGTGGTAAAATTGACAAAACACCAAAATCTGAGTGAGTTCTATATATAGAGGATGTATCCTCTTGCCGAAATAATATATCATAAAAGTAAATACGTACATTCATTATCACAGTGCGCAAAATTCGAACAACGGCCTTAATAAAACACTTTTGGCATTAATGCCATTTATTGAACCGGTCAATGCTACAATTTCATCATCGATCGATTGGAGAAAAAAAGGAGCCGTTAGTGAGGTCAAAGATCAGGGACATTGTGGTTCTTGTTGGACGTTTGCTGCGACTGGAGCACTTGAAGGACAATACTTTCTCAAAACTGGACAATTGCTGTCATTATCAGAGCAAAATATTCTTGATTGTTCAACAAATTACGTAACCCATGGATGCAATGGTGGTTTTAGATATTACGCCTTTCAATATGTAAAAGATAATGGTGGAATAAATACCGAAGAATCCTATCCATATGATGGCAGCGATGATAATACTTGTAGATTCAATCCAAAGAACTCTGTCGCAACAGTTTTTGGTATGGTAGATATTCCAGAAGGAAATGAAACCGCACTGGTTGCTGCACTTGCTACAGTTGGACCTGTTTCGGTTTCCATTGATGCTACGCACTATTCATTCCGTTTCTATTCGTCTGGTATTTATTTTGAACCAGAATGTATGTCACAAGATGTGAATGGCCATGCGGTACTGGCAGTAGGTTATAACAAAGACTATTACATCGTCAAGAATTCTTGGGGTGAGAAGTGGGGTGAGGGTGGATACATTCGTATCAGCCGAAACAAAAACCACTGTGGAATCGCTACATCAGCAATATATCCACTCATTGAAGCATCTTCGGCTAACTAAAGCAACTAATTGTACATTTAATCAAATCAAATTTTATCACAAATATGCGACAATTGTCTTTACATGCACAGACAGATACTTCCAAATAAATACAGTCGGTCTACTATAAATACGGTTTTTATTTAAATAGTTTTATTATTCGTTTTAAATTGTCTCACACGATTTACCACAGACTTCATGGTCTAATACGCAACATTGCAACATGAAACATGTCTTATTTATTCCAAAAGGACAACCAATTTTTATGTGGAAAATCGTTTTTTTGCTCTTCGTTTTTGAAATCACGCCCTCCTAGAAATATAACTATCCCTATTCCCATGAGTGTGGACCAGGTCGTATCCATCAACTCCACAAGATTCACTTCCAATTTATTTTATAATATCATGTGAAAAGAAGCAAGACGACTTGAGCTGGAAGTGAATCCTGTGGAGTAGATGGATCTAACCTGGTCCACACTGTTCCATTGGAAAAGCAAGAAAAATCGATCGGGAGCTTTTTTTTGTGTTTTTGACTCTATTCCTGTTGATACTTGACAAATTTATATGAAACTCTCGGAAACTCGGTATATGCACACACACAACTTGCACTTATATTTTGCAAAGCAATAGAAATCGTCGACACAAAACTCCAAGTGATTGCCAAATTGGCTCAGTACTCAAAATTTCGCGACCTCGTATTTTTTATGATCAATACCTTTAATCATCTGTACAAGATGTATACTTTACTGTACAATATTTTTTTCAGAAGTGTACAAAGAAAAAAAATTGCGAAATATTTTTATGTACTCAAAATTTCGATTTTGTTGCTATTTTGGATATTCCAATAAACAATACAACACAAAACCACCAACAGAAGCTATGAAACGTCAATAATCATCAAGAGGAACGTCACACGTTCTCATTTTTTGTAAAATGTCTTTTCTGTTCTATTCGAAAAGGGAATTGAAGATACTCATATTTTTATCATGCATACCCACTTAAAATTAATTGTACATTCATTAACAAATTTTTTTATTAATATATAACCAAATTTATATAAACACAAATAAAAAATACCCTGAAAACTTTCATTCAAGTGAAAAATATTTCCTTTTATTATAATTAAAATAAATATATATGGCCATTGAAACGATGGAAAATAAATGCTCAAATTTGAATAAGCTATTCCATTGTTGGACTACTTGGAATGTTAAATTTCAGAAAATTACCTCAAATCGGTACCCATCAATATATTATCGGTACCCAAGTCACTGTTCACAGTTCAAAAATATTATCTAAGAAATCGAAAAACGCCTAAATGTCACTTTTGAGGTGGGTTCACTATTTTTTTCTATATCAAGCAATGAGTGAGAATAAAAGTGAAAATATAGATTCGTTAATGGTTAAGCAATGCATTCACTGTCCAGTGTCCACACATTTTCTATGCAACATATATTATTTGGTATTCACATATGAATATAGATGACACCTATATGTATGTGTTATTCTATATCACATACACCATTAGATAGCCGATTCACTCATGCATCGCATATTACGAAGTAACGCATGCGTGGTCAAATAATTCACACATCGCCGTTATTATCGCGCTTTTTAATTGGATGTATATTCAAAATGCCGTGATGTACAGTAAAAATTATAAAATATATTTTTTATAAAGATAAATTGTGTTCTCAAACTATTAATTTGTTGGCAACATTTTCAATTCAAAAAAGACTTCAATGAAGCTTGAAAAACACATTTGAATATGTTTTTTTCATCAGAAATATCGTCATCTCTTCTTAAACAATGTTTACAAATATTAAAAGTATTTTTATAATACGGTGTACGCGAAAAAGCATTCAAGTGAAATCATCGAATATAAAAATCATTTTTGAAATTTCAAGATCATATGAAGGTGAATTGATCCGTCGTATTTCATTTTGTCTTGTTTCAACACTGACTTCGATTTTTAAGATTCTTTCATATAATTTCTTGTTGTTTCTTTCATATAATTTCTTGTTCTTGACAAATTGCCATGGATGCAGCTCAATTTTAATATTCGATTTATTCACTTTTTATCGTGCGAAATGCAGTGTGCATTTTATTAATAATTTTAAAGCTTTTCTGAAAGTTAACATAAGATCATACTTATTTTGTTTCAGTGGGTTTGGAATAACAGTACGTCA